CCACATCACTTGTCAAAATACAGAAATTCTGGAGGCAGCTAGGTGGTGCAGTGGATAGAGCACAGGCCCTGAAGTCAGGAGAACCTGAGTTCAAATCTGGCCTCAGACCAAACATGACACTTACTAACTGTGTGACCCTGGGCAAGTCACTTAACCCTGATTGCCTAAATAAATAAATAAAATTTTAAAAAATACAGAAATTTTAAATAATAATACTGTGGGCAGGAATAATATTGGGGAACAGGTCTGGGAAGCACCAAAGAAACAGGGAGAGAAATTCTCCTTCAGTCCTAAGAAGTTGCCTGAGGTCCATAGAAGTCACATGTCTTTCCCCAGGTCAGGTAGATAGAAAGCATCAGAGGCAGATTTAAACCCAGATATTCCTGACTTCAAGCCCAACTCTATAGTTGTGGTCTTTAGAGTGAGAGGTCCCCTATGAAGGGGCCATGGCATGACCCCCAAGAGGTATGTGATCAACTAATCATTGCATATCTTATTACCTTCTCTTCCCAAGTCCATTTTTTTCTGAACTTCCTTATTACTGTCAGGGGTCAGGGGTATTACCATCCTTCTAGTCACCCAGGTTCACAATGCGGGTGTCATCCCTACCTCTTCACTCTTACCACCAGCCCTATATCTAATCAGTTACCGAATATCATTGTTTATGCTTCCATGCCATCTTTTTTTTTTTTTGGCCAGATAATGGGGTTAAGAGACTTGCCCAGGGTCACACAGCTAGTGTTATGCATCTGGGGTCGGATTTGAACTCAGGTCCTCCTGACTCCAGGGCTGGTGTTCTATCCCGTGCCACCTAGCTGCCCCTCCATGACATTTTTTGCATCTGTCCACTTCCCTCTATTCACATAGCTACCACACTTGTTCAATCCCTTATCAATGAGGCATCTTCAAATATCTTTTACTGACAAGGGTGCATGGTACAAAAAGCTTGGCAACCACTGTATTATGTGATGCTGTCTCTGCTCTCCTCAAACTATAATTTAACAATATAGAGTAATGACCAGGTGTAGCCATCTTAGACAAATTCTCCCCTGAGAGACAATCTCTTCTTTTCACTATCTCCCCAAAGTGTGAAGCACAGAAAATGTTATTCTGACCATTTGAAGATAAGATGCTAAAGTCAGACACTAGAACTAGAACAACCTGGAAGTCTGATTTGATCATCACATCAGCAAGATTTCATAATCTCAAATAGGACACACCATGGTCAAGTTGCATTCCAGAACTTCAATATGGGGCTTGTTTTTTTCTCTTTTAACCAACTACCAGTACTACATTTTTGAAGCTTTTCCATCAAAAAAGCATAAATCTACTAAGTTATACCTCCTTTTTTCAAAAGAAACTTTAAAAAAAACTTTATGCATATGACATGAGCAGATTGTTTAGAAATTACTCACCTTAGTAGGAACTTTTTGTTTTTAACTCTTGGAATGGCTAAAATTTATAATTATCCCAATTACTAAAAAGTTCTTTTGAGCTTTTGTGACCATTATGGCATTTTTGAATGAAGTTTATGTTACTATCCTGTTCAAAGTGCCATAATAATTTCTGAAAGGAAATTATATTAGAAATTATTGCATTAAGATTGCAGAACCCATGAACAGTTTCCTCCACAGCAGGGAATAAGCCAGCACCATTTCTTTCCAAATTTACCTCATCCTTCCACGCACTTTATACACCAATCACTCTTTTCTTTTACCTACTAACTGAACATACACTACTCTCTCACACCTCCATGGCTTTGTTCAAGCTGTTCCCCATCCCCGAAATGCCTTTTCTCCCCACTTGTGACTGTTGCCTTCCTATCTATGCCTTAAATGCTAACTTAAATATCACCTCCTCCAGGAAGTCTTCCCTTATCCCCAGTCATTCACTAACGGACCTTTCCCCTCAGACCTCACATAACACTTTGTGGTGTATCTCTCCAGTGTGCTTAACAATGAATAGTTTATATGATAAGTATCTGTGTAAGTATACACATTCCCCTATGTGTCAGTAAGGTCCTTGAAGTCAGGAACTGTCTTGCCTCTTTTTGTATCCCAAGCATTCAGCACTATGTGCCTGGTACATAGTAGGCTCTTAATAAATATTGATTGATTGATTGATTGATTGAGGGCAAAGTCTATGACCCGTTTAACTTTTGTATTTCCCCTAGCACCTAAGCACAGTCTTCCGTATACTGTAGGTGTTTAATAAATGTTTGTTGGTTGTTGATGGATTATTAACACAATCAGATCGTTACTGAATCAAAGTGCCAAAAAACTCTATTGGCAATTTAGGAACTAGACGGGAACAGCAAGAACTGGGGAGGGTGGAGGGATGAAGGCAGACTGGGGAAGATATTGAAAAGTACAGAAAGGCATTAAAAAGGAGAGGTAAAGGGAAAAGCTGAAGACACTCCTCACCCACTTCACAATTTTGCCTTGGGTAAGATTTGCCTTGAGAAGGCAGGAAGTGAGAATAATTGTTATGCTGTGGCTGGAACAATGTATAGCATTTGTCAGAAAAAAGAAGCAGCTGAGGCTTCTGTTCTGTTTGGTTTTCCCAATGCACAGCTGAATTCATGAAGGTTAAACGCATCAGTGGGAAAGGACAAGATGCCAGAAACTGGGGCTAGGGAAAGGACTGGCATCTCTATAGTTTATATTGGCCAGATGAGCCATCCCAGCAAAAGCTTACTTAATCTTCAGTCAGTTTTAGTTTCTCCTTGCCAAGAGAAGAAATATTAAAGGAACTGCTCTACGTTCTCATATTTCTGTTGCTGTCACTGAACTTTGAATTTCCCTTGGAATGAAATGTCAAAGACAGACTTCTTGTTGCTCCAGACTTGCAGTGGCACAGTGGATAAAGAAAAAGGCCTGGAGTCAGGAGGACCTGAGTTCAAATGCAACCTCAGATACTTACTAGCTGTGTGACCCTAGGTAAGTCACTTAATCCTGTTTGCCTCAGTTTACTCATCTGAAAAATGAGCTGGAGAAAGAAATGGCAAACCACTCCAGTATCTCTATCAAGAAAACCTCAAATGGGGTCACAAAGAGTCATACCTTACTGAAAAGATTCAACAACAACAACATTATCTGGAGAGATATAACACATATACTGTGCCTAGTCTCTGCTTGTTGAATTAAATTTGCACTTGCCTCCACTTTCCTGGCCAGGGTATTTTTGAAGTCCTTTTTCATTTTATTTATTTTGTTTTTTGAGAACAGTTGATGTAAGGAACATTTTTCCTTCTACCTAACAATTAGTGTCATAGAATTTCAAAGCTAAAAAAGACCTTAGGGAACACTTGGTTTTACAAAGAAGTAAACTGAAGTCCATAAAAGTAACATTGAGTCACCTGAGATCACATAGCTAGTTATTGGCACACTTGGAAATAGAACGCAGGTCTCCTGCCTCCTCCTCACACTCCACTCTTCCAAGGTTTTCTCTCTTAGCTTAAGGTATTTAAACAAAACCTAAGTATCCTACCAATCCCTAGATATAAAATGGAGTTAATTACTAAAGAGAAAGCAGTCTAAACACCTGTGTTGCCACTGATTCAGATATTACCCAACTCTAGGAAGAAAATGGATCTGAAAAGTCACAGATAAATTTCTCAGTGCTTTGCCGGGACTTGTCCCTTGCTTTTTTCATATTTTCCTCGTATCACAGTAATTTGTGTGCATGTTTTAGCCTTTCTATTAAACTATAAGCCTCTTGGAGAGGGAGGGGAGTGTCCTATTTCATCTTTACATCATCGAGCCTAATATGGTAACTTATACATATTAGGTCTTTTATTATTTTAAAATATTTTAAACTATTAAACTAATTATGTTTGATGAACTTTTGTGAGTTAAAGATTTTATCCCTCCCTGGAGAAGTCTTCTTTTAAAAAAGTTCCTTTGAGGAAAAGATCTCAAAGCACTAAATTTGTGATTCAATCTATAATACCAGATATCTGTTGGTGGAGATATTTAGAGAGCAGTGGAGTGTTTGGACCCTGCCTAGCCATATCGATGATATTTTTCACTAAGAAGGAGCAGGATTAGGGGCAGCTAGGTGGCACAGTGGATAGAGCCCTGAGTCAGGAGGACCTCAGTTCAAATCCAGCCTCAGACACTTGACACTTACTAGCTGTGTAACCCGAGGCAACTCACTTAACCCCCATTGCCTCTCTTTTAAAAAGTGGGGAAGCGGGCTAGGAGTTATAAAAAGTTCACTGGACTAAAAAATGAAAAGATGGATTTGAAGTTATAGCTCCACCCATTACTTACTAGTTTGTGTACTTTGAGCATATCACCTTACTTCTATGAGCCTTAGTTTCCTCATCTGTAAAATAAAGAGTTTAGACTAGAAGAGATCCAAGATCTCTTTTGGCTCTAACATTCTACAAATTTTCTTTTCCATCCAAAAACAGTAACTCTTATCTTCTGTTACACTAATAATAACAACAATTCACATTTGCATAGGGTTTTACAGTTTACAAAGTACTTAGCTGGTGTTCCATTCCATCCTTATCCCAATCTGGTGAGGTAGGCAAGGCTGGTTTTATTGTTTTATTTCACAGGTAGAGAAATTGAAAATCAGAGGGAAAAAAATGAGTTGTTTCCAACTCTTCATGACCCCGTTTAGGGTTTCTTGGTAAAAATAGTAGAGTAGTTTGCCAGGAAACAAGGCAAACAGAGTTAAATGATTTATCCAGGGTCACACAGATAGTAAGTGTCTGAGGTCAGATTTGAACTCAGGAAGATGAATCTTCCTGACGCCAGGGCCATTGCTCTATCCAATGAACCACCTAGTTCTCCCTAAAGTGATTAGTGTCAGAGTTTAAATCCAAGCCTTCTACTTCCAAGTCAGTGTTCTTTCTACCACATCCAGAACTGAAACTGGGAATATTCTGAGCTGGAAAAAAAAAAATGGTTGTGAGAGAGAGGGATAATGGATAGCAGCAAGGAGGACAACTCAAATGAAAGTGTGATCACATCAAGAGAGGGGATTATGTGCTTGCTTTGGCAGCACATATATTAAAATTGAAACAATATGAGGAAGATTAACACGGGCCCTGTGCAAGGATGACACACAAATTCATGAAGCGTTCCATATTTTTGATCATAAAAAAGGGAAAAGGACCCACATGTACAAAAATATTCATAGCAGCTCTTTCTGTGGTACAAAGAATTGGAAATTGAGGAAATGCCTGTCAATTGGGGAACAGCTGAACAAGTTGTGGTATATGTAATGGAATACTATTGTGCTTTAAGAAATGATGAGCAAGCAGATTTCAGAAAAATCTGGAAAGACTTACATGAACTGCTGCTAAATGAAGTGAACAGAACCAGGAGAACATTGTACACAGTAAAAGCAACATTGTGTGATGATCAACTATGATAGATTTAGCTCTTCTCAGCAATACAATGACCTAAGACAATTCCAAATGACTCATGACGGAAAATGCTGTCCACATCCACAGAAAAAACTATGGAGTCAACGCAGATTGAAGCATGCTATTTTTACTTTTTTTTTTCTTTCTTGTGGTTTTTCCTTTTTGTTCTGATTCTTCTTTCACAACATGACTAATGTGGAAATATGTTCAATATGATTGCACATATATAGTCTATATCAGATTGCTTGCCTTCTTGGGGAGGGGATTGAGAAGAGAGGGAGAAAGAAATTTGAACTCAAAATCTTATAAAAATGAATGTTGAAAAATATCTTTACATGTAATTGGAAAAAATAAATTATTATGTGGGGGGGGGAAGAAATTCTGGATATAAAAAAAAAGTTGGGGGAGGGATTATGATTGGGAAGAAAGGAAGACCCAGCCAGAGGGTTGCTTCTGGGACAAGACCCCTACTGGCAATGATGTGAATGAAGGTGGTTTCAGTGAAGAACATTCAGGCCAGCAGGAGATTATGTATCAAGATGCCAAAATGGTAATCATTAGAGGAAAGAAGCATGCTTTCCCTCACAGATGTCAGTGCCCTGGGGAAAAGCCCCATTGGAACTGCCCTAGTTATGGTCTGGACTACCCCCACGCTTACCCTAAAATGTTACCAAGTTCTATTACTTTCCACGAACCATTTGCTCAGATAACTCAGAGGAAGGGCAACCAACTAACCCACAAGAACTAACCTTATCGACTCGTTTGTCACATCCAATTCATCCAGCTGTTCATAATAGGTATTTGCTTATTGAAGTCAATTAGGGATTCATTTGTTCTTCAGCATCGTCATTATTAATTTATACCTTCCACCAAGTACACACATACACACCCACTCTCCAGCATTTAATTCTCCGGCAGAGGCACATATCTCATCTGCTTTAATATCATCCCAAGGGGTCCATCGTAAGTGGAGGAATGTGAGTCACCAGCTAAGCGCGAAGTCTAATGGCACAGTCTGCTTTTCAAACTGAATGCCTAATTATAGAGGGCACTGAGCAGTTCATTAACTCTTCTTGAATGGCTTCCTGCCTTGATGCCGACGTGGGCTTTTTGTTCCGCACTGAATGGCGTCCATAGAACATTCCACAGGACACAGCTGGTATTCCTCGAGAGGCAAACAAGATCCATCTTTAGCTTTTGAGACAACCTCTTAACAGGCCCACACAGGCCCTTGTAGGGGACAGGATCCAGCTTTCTGTTGAAGTGACAGAATGTAGGGTTTGTTCTGTTATTCAAGCTGGGTAATGAATGGCCATTCTCCCCCTCTGGCTTCCAAGGGAACTATTCTACCCTTGGTTGCTACGAGGTACTCTCTGCAGTTAAAGTTGTTTTATTTTGCTTCAAGACAAGGCCCCTGTTACGCATGGACTGTTTTCTAACTCACATGACTCCCCCTTGAATTAATCTACAATACCACCTCCTTAGGCTTCTTGTTTCTTGAAAACCTCGATTCTCATCCGCTCGTGTCCCTGTCAACATTCCCTTGTCTGCAAGGGTTTTATTCTGCCCACATGGGTCTTTTCTCTCTTCATCTCTTGAACTCTAGAAAGGTGCACACTGAGCTCACTATCTCATTTTGTATCATCCCTATCCTAGTGCCATAGGTAACATGGATTCGCTTAGCTCAGTTTCAGATGCAGAGAAGGACTGGTTTTCTTATCATAACTCCATGTCAGTCCTGGACCTTAGAGAGTTTCCAAGAATCAGCAAGGTTAGATGACAGAGGAGGCAAGCCCAGTGATCTAAGAGGAACAGAAGAGACAGTGAGGGTTGCATTGTGCTGAGGCCTGGCTGGGCTCCCACTTAGGACAACATGGTAAATCATTAGCACTATACAGGTTACCAGGAAAAGTTGTCCCACTGGAGTGGAAAAGCCAGTCTCTCAATACTCTGTGGGCTCTGATAAAAGTCCCTTCTGTGTTCTTTACTATGTAAATCTAGCCTTAAGGAATCTCTTATAGGCGTACATGGGGTGGTACTCCCTTTATTAATATGGGGTCTCTCTGCTCTGGACCCAGGGATGTGTTTTAGACAAGTTTCAACCCTATGGAGTATGGCCTCTAATGAGAGTGCTCAGGCTTCCTTTTCTCAGCTTATTAAACCCCAACCCTGGTGTTTTTAGGGACAAATTTACTTATAAGTTATGATTCACATCCAGGAATTACCCAAAAAGGGGAGAATAGAAAAATACTCAAAGTACAATGTAAATCAGGCATGTGACTGGTAATTTATTCTTAGACACAAAAGAGATTGTAAATACAAAAGATTCATAGGGCATGTTGACAAAGTGATTTGAAAAATGAGATTCAGAAACTTAATTTATAACTACTATTACAATCTGTTAGGAGACTGATACTTAAACCTTATCTGAATATAAATCAGTTTGCAGAACCACTGATTAGGCATTGTACATTATGCCTTGACTCTATCCTGTCCAAGTAGCCCCTGGTACATGACTACTCCTACAATGACTAGGCTTGGGCCATTCCTCTTTTTGGTAGACACCATGTCCAATGTAGAAGTTTTCTTTCCTGCCAAAAATCTCCAATCTTACAGGAACGAAGACCTCAAGACTTCTCTAACACACAGAGTCACCTCCAAGCCTGGGTATGTCCATGCTGAGATAGGTACTCAGAAAGGACTCATCCTGAATCCAAGTTAAAGCTTACCTAGCTAGGATGTCTGTTTTAGATGCTATGTTCTCATGGCCACATGGAAGTGGGTGTGGGAGAAAGAGAACAAGTCACTCCTTTCTTCACCCCATCTCAGGAAGCAACTCAAAATAAGCCAAGTAAGACTTATAGCCATAAAGAGAGAGGCTCAGAAGCAGTAACCTCCCATTGTATATTCACAGAGTCATCAGTTTTTCTATTCCCCCCCAGCCAATAAGAGAATCTAGAACTTAGCCTTGAGGCACACATGAGCTGAAGAAGCAGGTCCCAAAGCTCCCACGTGGTTGGTCAGAACCGGTAATGGCAACCTTGAGCATGCTCTTTGGAATATTTCCGGTAGGCCAATTCAGCCTCACTACACAAATAAAACAGGTTCTATTCTAAAAGTTTTGTTAGCCTGAACAATTGTAAGGTACACTGGTTATTAGGAAAATACCAGACACTCAAGTTCTAGAGGCCCCAGGCACCACCTGGGTAAGAGTGGCAAGTCCATATGTAAAAGGTCCACCAAAATGTAAGTGGACCTTTCAGGTCAGAAGGAAACCTCTCATGTAAGAGTTACATATATTTATCATACTGCCTCACTTACCTTCCTCTTTATTTTCCCCTGACACTGTCACTTTAAGATGGGGATAGGGAAGAGGGGAAAATTAGGAAAGTGCCTGGATCTTGGTCTGCTACCTTCATTTGTTTTTTTTAAAGTGATTTTTTGATTAATTTATTTTGATTTATCAATAATCACTTCCATAAACTTATGAATTTTAAATTTTTTCTCCCCCTCCCCAAGACGGCACACAATCCGATATAAGCTATACATATACATTCTTATTAAACATATTTTCACATTAGTGATGTTGTAAGCCTTCATTTGTTTTTGAGAAATTTGCCAAATGTCTAAAAAGTAATGACTCCTTTAGAGTTATCCAGCAATAAGTGACAAAATTAATTGGAATTCAGGTCACCTATTTTTTTGTTATTAATTCTTTACTGCTCACAATGAAAGACTAATTTAATCCAAGCTGAGCGTATTCATGAGAGGGAATGTCAGAGATGATTTCTTTAAATGATATTTATATTTAGGATCACCTTTCAAATCTGTTCAACTCAACAAATGTGTATTAATTACCTGCTATGTATAAGGCATTGTGCTAGGCACCGGAGACCCAAAAATGAAAAACAAGCAAGTCCCTGTCCTCCAGGTGCTTACAATCTAATGAAGGACCTATGACATGAACATGCATGGTAAAAGGCACAACATGGTAAACACAGAGGAAAGACCCATACAAAATATTCTAACATTATTTGAGGAAAGAGAAACTACATGTCCCAGGGAAAAGAAGGAAGGAAAAAGGAAGGAAGGAAGGAAGGAAGGAAGGAAGGAAGGAAGGAAGGAAG